CCCCAAAACCCCAAAACCCCAAAACCCCTAATTGCAACTATAATGGCTTAAAAGGAGTATTAATTAATTAGTAGTTAATTAAAGTATTAATAAATTTACGAATGGTTATATCTTTCTGCCTAACTATATCATTGTTGTTATCCCTCACAAATGCCTTTGAGGTTTCAATGAGGACTCTTGATTAGGACAGATAATTATCAAGGGATTAAATTCAATTCAAAGGCAAGTTAAGTTTTCTGTTTAACATAAGAGACAATTTGAATATGCCTGCAGTTTGGAATAAGTTTTTCAGTGAGGCTCCATAGGAAATGTACTCAATATATTACCATTCTAGCTTCAAGAGCATTATTAATCTTGATTAGTAAATCACAGCATTCAGAGTTCCAAGAGTCAGAATTGATAGTGATGAATATGACACTTTCAAAGCTTGGACTTAGCTCATCAAGATGGCTACAATTAATGATAAAAACCAAAAGTTTATCCTTCTTACGGATTCGTCCATTCCAATCTTCAATTTCTTTACTATTTACGAAGCGGCTTTGTCTAATGACTATACTCTGTTGCAAGCTGCTCCTTTTGAACTTGGAAAAGACACTCTATTTCCAACTTACAGCAGACTTCTATCATTGTTCAGTTCAGATGAAGTTCTTAGACACAGTGCAACAATGATCCTGAGAAAAGACCATGCTATTTTGCTACTTAAAAAGAATGAAGAGATTTTGAATACTTTTAGAAGACTCAGACCAATGCCAGATCCAAATAACGTTCTTATAGGAACTTATCTTAAAAAAGAAGGACTTAGTGAAGAGTTGAGAAACCATTGCATAGCTTATAATGACTTTTCAACTGATTTCGATAGCTTTGATTAGTTGATCACATACGAGGACTTAGGAGATGCTCAAATTGATTGTCTATTCTACTCAAATGTTACAAGAGGCACTAAAATTCAGGATGATGCATTCCAAAGAATATTCAAACTAGGAAAACCATAGGCACCAAAGAAACAAGATGATAGTGAAAGCAGATAATATGATGAACTTTGAACATGGAAGAGATAATTTTTTCAAATTAAATTTTACTATTTATATAGCCCAACATCAAATTTTATAGTTATGGGGTTTTGGGGTTTTGGGGTTTTGGGG